CATTGCATTGCATTGCATTGCATTGCATTGCATTGCATTGATAATAAAGCCAAGCACTTATTATAGGGGTCAAAAGAAAATAAGAACCATAGGTCCTAGGTTATCCCCTAGTTTAAGGGCAAAAAGGTTGGCTGGTTTAATAGAGATGGTTGTTCTTCCTCTATGACTGGAAAATAACGTATCTGAAGGGCAGAAGACCCTGAAGCGTCACGAGAGGTCCTTCGATTCCTCCCATGGGCTGTTTTCCGCAGCTGTCCTCCCCAACCTTGAAACTGCTGCCAGTGAATTCGTCCCCGGCCTACGTCTCTCTCTCTCTCTCTAACCTCCAACGTCACTTTTAAAAGGCATGCGAGATTCAGATCAGATAGCTTCCTTGGACCAGGCTTGACAGTAAAAAAAAAGGAGATTTGTTACAGGGAAAAGCAGAAAGGGGGAAAAAAATAATGTGATATTTTGAGTTCTCTGAAAGTCGGTTAGGAAGTTACGGCTTAAAACAAACAAAGAAGAAAAATGGCAGGAGAGCTCACAATCCCGATTTGATCGCATCTGCTCCAGAAGGAAGAATTGCTGGGATGATTTAAGGACGGTGGTTTTATTGGGTTTGTCGTTCCGATAAATCCAACCAGAGGGCTGGAAAAAGCCCATTTGGAAGCTGCCTCTCTGTGTGTTTTGGTTCACACCTAGGCAAAAAAAAAAGAGTTGGCATAAATCCTAGCACATTTGTGTCGTAAAGGTGTCTGCGAAACAGATGTTAGACTGTCTGCGAGAGACAGCGCACCTTTCAAAGCAGTGCCAAGTCTTTGGGGTTGCCAGTCCTTGGGAGTTTCAATCAGACAAAACCAGCCAGGAGCTTCTCAACGCCGCTGAAAATTAAAATCGTATCCCACTCCTTTTCCCAGCCTGCCAATCAGCCGAACCTTCTGCCTATCAAAATGATACCACGTTTTCCCGAAAATAAGACAGGCTCAGAGGGCACACAAAGCCCTCTCTGGGGACACACAAGCCGTCGCTCGGCTGAGCTCCACCGCGCATGTGCGCGCCCCCGCCCCGCCGGCCAGATGATTTTCGGGACTCTGCTGTACATGTGGGAGATGTATGCGCATGCACAGGGGCGTACGTGCGTGCATACGCCGGGGGTGATGGGAGCAGGGGGAAATGCAGAAAATCCCCCGTGCTCCGTTTTTGGCGCCAGGAGGCTTCAGGGAAGGCCTATGGAGCCTGGGGGAGGCCATTTTTGCCCTCCTAGAGCGTCAGGGAAAGTCTCCGGAGCCTAGGGAGGGCGAAAAATAGGCCTCCCAGAAGTTCCGGAAGTTCAAAAACGGGCCTGTTTCCAGCCTCCGGAGACTTGAGGTCTGGGGAAGGCAAAAATGCCCCCTCCCCACACATCACACTGTGGTGCAGGTCAAGTAGGCCGCACGGGGGGGGGGGTCGCACACACATGCACGTGGGGGAGGGGTTATCATACGTGCATGCACAAGTGGGTGGGGCATTGTGGTGTGGGTGTGCCTTGTATACACGCATGCGCTATTGTGCCCGCGCACGCAATTTTGGCGCACGAGGAGAAAAAGTTTACCCATCCCTGACCTAGGAGCTGCCCTATTTTTTGAGTCTTGATTGATTAGCCCTTGGACTATATATCGAAGTGCAAAGTTCCAGAAACAAATAATGACTAAAATTTGATCAAAGCAATTTAAAATGGAATCGGACTAAAACACGATTTAAAATTGAATTGGAATAAAATACGATTTAAAATGGAAAAAATAAAATACAATTTAAAATGGAATTGGAATAAAACAAGATTTAAAATGGAATTGGAATAAAACACGATTTAAAATGGAATTGGAATAAAATACGATTTAAAATGGAAAAAATAAAATACAATTTAAAATGGTATCGGAATAAAACATGATTTAAAATGGAAAGAATAAAACACGATTTAAAATGGAATTGGAATAAAACACGATTTAAAATGGAATTGGAATAAAACACGATTTAAAATGGAAAGAATANAGAGAAACGGCTCTTTTAGAAAAGAAATTTAGGAGATTTTTCCTTATTTTGATGTGAAGGCAAAACCACGAGCAGAGAGTTTGAAGCGGAGATTAAAATCATTGGCTGGAAAATCAGGGATCCTCTTCAGAAGAATCATTCACTTGTTTTCATTTCTGAGCTTAAGTCAGTTTTCAAAAAAAAGGTTAAGGTTCCCCTCGTACATCTGTGCTAGTTGTTCCCGACTCTAGGGGGCGGTGCTCATCTCTGTTTTGAAGCCGAACAGCCAGCGCTGTCCGAAGATGTCTCCGTGGTCATGTGGCCGGCATAACTTAATGACGAAGGCGTACGGAACGCTATTCCCTTCCTACCAAAGGTGGTTCCTATTTTTCTACTTGCATTTTTTACGTGCTTTCAAACTGCTCGGTTGGCAGAAGCTGGGACAAGTCACGGGAGCTCCCTCCGTTACGCGGTGCTAGGGATTCAAACCGCCGAACTGCCGACCTTTCTGATCGACAAGCTCAGCATCTTAGTCCCTGAGAAACAAAATCTTCTCTACATCTCTGGGGAGAAAATGTTGCTTCTCCTCCAACATATTTTAATACTTTTCGTCTTTTTATCCTTTAGGTGAGCTTCTTAACAAGTTCTGACCTACGAACCCGAGTTCTCCAGTTTGTAGAAGACCGGATTCAGACAACCATGGTAACGTTGGGGAACGTTTTGGGAACGTTTGAAACCAGGGTTCTCATTTGCATGCCTGTTCCAAGCAGGAAAAACCCTGCTTTTAGATCACACCCAATTTCCCCCGTCCGCGTTGCCTTCCCTCCTAACCAAAATTAGAGGATTATGACGGCTGTAATAAACATTAAAGTGATGGTGTTGTTTGATTAGTCATGTCCTAATCAGACCTGGAGATTGCAGTTTATTAATGCAGCCCAGGAATCTGCACATTCTGGTTAGTCCCACATAGTCACCAAGTCGCCCGATCTGTAAAGAGAATATCGTGGCCTCCAAAACAGCCCAAGATCCCTTATAAATGCGATTTGCGAATGCATGAATGTAAAGGGCGATTAGTCATTGTGAATATTTCAATTTAAATCTATTTGACTCAGTACATGTAAAGAGGACAGCATGACCTCCAAAACAGCATAAGAAGATCTGTTCTAAGATGGGCACTGGGGTGATGATGAATTTATAAGATTTTTTTTTTCTTTTGGCTGATTGGAAGCGATAAAGATGCTCGTTTTCTCCCGCTTCACATCTGGAGCATTGATTTTTGGTTGCTCCAGATTAGGAACTTATTAAACTAACCCAACACAGGTAGCCTGTTGTGGCCAGCGGCCTGTGCAGCTGGCAGCAGATTCCGACATTGAGGAGGTTGGGGAGGAAGATGGGCCAGTCCTGGAGTCTGGGGAAGGCTCGGACGAGGGCTCTGTGTCGGAGGCAGAGAGGGGGCCAGGGCCATCTGGTAGTTAGTTATATGCTGGCTCCGGAGCCTGACATCAGCGAGGCAGAGGAACAAGGGGAGCCTGTTCCCAGTGCGTGCATGCGCAGAGCTGCCAGAAGGCAAGAATAGTTAAGACCAAAAGGCCGACTCGGGAGTAAGACTTGGAGATGATTGACCCCTCCCATAAGACATAAAAGAGGAGTGAATGGACATGAGCCTTTGCAGGAAGCAATTAGTTCATCTAGTCGGTTCAAGCTCTGAGAACTCCTGTTTGACTCTGTGCTCTGGCCTTGCAAATCTAATGGGCAGTTAGGTCTCTGGCAGCGTTTCAAGGGAGATAAAGGCGGGTGCTTATCAACCTTATCCTGAAAGACTGCAGCAACTCAAGCAGATGTCTGTCGGAATCTTCACAAACTGTTTGTAAATCATTCCGGGCTGTGGATGAATATAGTTCACAGCCGTTTAAAGAAAAAGAAAGTTTTTGGGAACTAAGATTGTGATTTATGCTTTCTCAGAAAGCCTAGATCAAAACATAGCTTTCAAGTGGTCACTTAGCAGATCTCCACGGGACTGTTTATAGGATGCATAGTTCCAGTGGCCCCTCCCCTGTAGGTCATGTGATCACATTATGGTTGCCAGTCCACATTTACAGCCAATGACCGCATCCCATCGTCACGTGATCACGAATCACCACCTTCATTGCTAGAAAAACAGTATTTGAACATATTTAGGTTTGATAAGAAGAGAATATTGGTAGCTGAGTTTGAAATGAAGGATCCTTGGTGCTTCCTGAGCTTGGTTGTTTTCTTGCAGATGTTTCATGACCCAACTAGAGAACATCATCAGTACTAGAAGGGTTGGTATATTGTCAGAGTTTTGGCAGCGTGACTATCATTATGAGATAAACCCAGGGGGAAAACACAGCACAGATAATTAATAATTAGATAATTAATAGTGGTTTATATACAAATATATAGAGACATACACACTGTAGATAAATCCCTTACCACTCAGCTATGGACACAAGGAGAGAAATGAGATACACGATGAGAGAGAGAGAGGGAGAGAGATGCCCTCTAATGGCTACCTATACATAGACACCTTAAAACAGTAAATGACTTGTGTGGACTGTATCAGAGTCTTAAAAGAGGTGATAACTATATTGCTGAATCATCCTCATTGCATCAGCTTACAGTTTACAGCTTACAACCTTGCATCAGCTGGCAGCTATTAAATCCTCAGTACCTGACATATATCAATAGAGCAAACCCCACTCCCTTCTAGCACTGATGATGTGACCTCGTTGGGCCATGAAACGTCCGGGAGACGTTTCTGAGAGCGCCAAAGAACTCCATGTTTACCTAGGGTTGAAAATGAACTTTTCCTATCTCACTTCTGTCCGCAGATAACCGGGATAGCCATCGGCGCCGCGGTGGCCTTGTCGCTGATTGGGATCGTGGTGTATTTTGTGTACAAGAAGGTGAAGGAATCGAGTAAGTCTGATTGCTTAGCACGAACCCCATATCTGGGTAACAGAGGTGAACGGAAGGTGTTTCTTTCCGCACAGCGGAGCAACTGGGGAGGTTAAGAAATGGTTGGACCAGATTTCTCAGCCTGTGGGAAATAATGAGCGGGTCATAATAATGCAGCAGAAATGGGTCTCCAAGAATCGAATTTGGCCTAGTGGTTAACACACCAGGCTAGAAAGTAGGAGACCGTGAGTTCTAGTCCTTCCTTAGGCATGAAAGCCAAGCGGGTGACTTTGGGCCAATCACCAGGAGACTGGGAATTCTAGTCCCTCCTTAGGCATGAAAGCCAAGCGGGTAACTTTGGGCCAATCACCAGGAGACTGGGAATTCTAGTCCCTCCTTAGGCATGAAAGCCACGTGGGTGACTTTGGACCAATCACCAGGAGACTGGGAATTCTAGTCCCGCCTTAGGCATGAAAGGCACGTGGGTGACTTTGGACCAATCACCAGGAGACTGGGAATTCTAGTCCCGCCTTAGGCATGAAAGGCACGTGGGTGACTTTGGACCAATCACCAGGAGACTGGGAATTCTAGTCCCGCCTTAGGCATGAAAGGCACGTGGGTGACTTTGGACCAATCACCAGGAGACTGGGAATTCTAGTCCC